TATTTTTATTTTATTTTTATTTAATTTATTTTAACTTATTTTAACTTATTTTAATTTTGTTTTTAGCTTTTATTTTTATGTTACTGTTATTGAGGAGGGAAGCACCTCACTAGTCGCTGAGGGGACTCACCCAACGTTGCCTGCCTGCGTTGGTTTCCCGCTGGGGCTTGCTCATTTTGCTCTGTGAAATCGACAGAATTGGAAATCTATGGGGCAGAAGGCCGGCCAGACTAGGAGATTTCCATGAGCCATTTGACTAATATGTACCTCTTGAGGAATTACACATTTAGTTGGCTGTTTCAAATGATACTTTCATAATAAATATTGTGCAGGTGTGCTTATTTCAGAGAAGCCATTTTCCAGCCTTTCCTTGGTGGTGGAAGGGCTGAAGGCCCCTCTGGAGACACTGCAGGCAGGGTAAGATGCAGGGCTGCATCCAGCCGGCCGTGCGGATCTGCAGAGCTTGGAGATATCACAGCCTCTCCCGCCAGCCTGTTCCAGTGTTCAAACTCCGTCCCAGGCAGGAAATTTCTTCTGTGTTTAAAGAGACTGTCTAGAGTGACTGACGGTAGCTACAGTCCAGTTCACCTGTCGGTTGTTCATTCAACAGTCATGACTGCAGTGAACGAATAATTCCTGCTTAGTCGCGTTGGTCCAGTTTCCATTAGAAAGGGATGATATCATTTTAGTAGTGCGTATACAAGCCCCCCCCCAAAAAAAAACCCACAAGTTGGGATGTCACGCTGACAAAGTATAGGATCTCGATGCAAAAAAAATCATTTGGAATGTACAAAGCCTTGACATCCAGTTTAAGGTTTTGTTCTTCCAAGGTACAGTGTTGGGTACCACAGGTTTTTACACCAAAACAAACAATCTGAAGTTGCTTTCAACTTGCTCTTTTATCACTTTAGAGGACTGTAAAGAGGAACTGTAAGTCGTAACATTTCCAGAAAAGTGCTTGGATAATGTGTACGTTGACCAGATAACTCATCCTATATGAATGTACACTTTACAATCTCTAATTGTATTAGCTAACATAAAGCATCTCTGTTTCACTAACACTCATTATACTATTTTAGGTAATAAAATCATTTTAAAAAATCAGTTGAATTTAAGAAATTGTTCTGCCTAAAATACCCAATACGTCTACATAAATCTGAGGTAATAATGCATGCTGTTGGAAAATAGGTGAAATCAAATAAAGGAACTTTGACCACTATCTTTTTTAACATAATCTTCCTCTTGATCAACCAATTGATAATTAAATATCTTTAGTACCAGCTAGAAGAGGCAGAATTCCTGACAATCCTGTAGAAAAATGAGAAAGAACTTCAGACTGGGGAGACTAGGGGACTGTTGTCTCAAGCGCTGAGAAGGGGTCCTTGGCTTCATCCTCTTTAATAGAGAAAACACCAAGTCTAAGTGCAAGACACCAAGTGCTGAGGAAAGGAGATCAGGAAGGCCTGAGGTCATTCACTCATACTGTTAAGCAAGATGGCAAGTAGAAAATCTCGTTGTAAGACAACTTTCTGCTAGGTAAAGGAAGAAGGTTGGTAAAAACAAGGGATTTTTAATTGGGAATTTCTGCTGCAGGTATAACAGGTCCTGTGGAAAGGTGAGGATACTTGCCAAGAAAATGAAGACAAGACACCTGGAGAGCAGGATGAGAGGAGCAGGTCTGTCATGCTGAGAAGTTCTGAGATCTCTTCATTATCTGCTGAATAAAAGTCATAAATGCTCTTTTTTTTTTTTTTTTTTGGAAACCAGCTTTAAGGGGCAGGTCTGTCGTGTTCAGAAGTCCCTGGAATCTGCTGATTTCCTCTTGAAAAGGAGTCTTTTGCTTGGTTCTCTCCAGAAGTTTCAAAGTGGTAGTAAGAGAGTACTTGCTGAGAGAATAAGTACGCAGCAATTATTGTACCAAAGAGTGAGATTAACAAAGGATTGACAGGAGGGTCTTCAGTGCCTTTTTCCACTCCAGGGAGATGTATCTGAGTATCTCAGAAGGGGTCTATGTAGTGTTCAGGGATTGTAGGAGATGAGAAGAGTTATGATGCAAGGTTAAAAACCCCAGCCAAGGGTAAATATATAGATGTTACAACATCATTAGCACATGGAAGGAACTGCTGTTTGTCAACACTACACTGGGCTGCTTTTGACAGATGGATAAAATTAGATTGAGAAAGAGGGAGAGATTATGATATGACTAAGGGTAGAAGCACAAGTAATCTGTGGAAAAGGTACACAAGGAAGAGATCAGCCGCTTGGAGTCTGCTGATGGTGTCAGTCTTCTGGACATTTAGGATGAGAGTTTGCACACCTGACCCTACTGGCAGCAGTTTATTAATCGAACAAGTCAATAATTGTCTTCTGCAAGGCAACTGCTGGTTGCACTGTAATTGCGGGGGAATTTGTGTTACCAAAATTTAGCAGGAGTGATTCTGACCCTCTCTGTGCTGCGTGACAGTAGAGG